ATATAAGTATGCAATTAAATATATGCAACATAAATATAAAAAATTCATAATTTCAAAATGTATTACTTACTTTAAAATCATAAGGATTATCTCTAAATGTCTCACATAACACTACTTCTGGAGCCATCCAATATGGTGTCCCAATAAATGTGTCATGTTTCTGTAAAGTATGCTTATTTTTTGCAGATACTCCAAAGTCAGCTGTGAATTTTTTAAAAATTTTTCTTTACGCATAAAATATAATAATTATATTTAAATCTAAATATTTAAATATTTATTATTAAATCTATGCTTAAATATAAAAATCACCTAATTTCACTCCTCCTGCCATTGTTAATAAAACATTTCCTGCTTTTAAATCCCTGTGAATAACTTTAGATTTATGTAAAAATGCAAGACCTTTTGCCATATGTTGACATATATAGGCTATTTGTGGTTCTGTCAAAGCTTTTGCTAATTCAACCATTATGGAATCAACAGCACCACCATCACAATATTCTATTAACATCTATAAGTTTATTAATCAAATTATTAATCAAATTATTAATCAAATTATAATATAAATATTAAATTTATAAATATTATATAATAATAAAATACCCATAATTTGCCTTCAATAAAATATGCTTCATGTAATTCAACAACATTGGGATGTTTACATTCTGATAAAATATCTATTTCAATCATAAAATCACTGAGATCATCTTCTCCCTCCAATGCACACATTTTTGCAGCAGCAAGTTGATGAGTTTGCCTATGTTGTGCCTAAGATAAATACTAATTTAATAAATTAAACAATTACAATAAAAAAATTAAGTTATTAAATTGTGCAAATTATCACCTTATAAACTTTTCCAAATGCTCCATCTCCTAGCTCACCTATCATTTCCCAGAATTCTTCTGGATTACAATCCATTTTAATATTATTATATAATTTCTTTTTTTTAGCATCATTTCCACCAAAGTGGAATGCTTTCTTTAAATTCGATAAGAATGACATTTTTGTAATTCTTACTCAATATATTTATATGTAAAATATATACTTCTATTACATTATGTCATAAAACTCAATAATGTTTATTATTAACAACAAATATGTATTTTACACTGATTTTAAATATAAATTTAAGCAATTTTTAAATAATTCATTCTTATTTGAAATTATTACAAAATACATAAATCATCTTTCTTTTATATATATTTTTGCATATTTTTTATTATTTAAATATATTTTAACATTTCCTTTTAAAATAGAAAATGTTTTAAAAAATATACTTAATTTACATCCCCATTTTATAATAGGGAATTATATGAAATCTCTCCCACATCTTGATAATATATAGTCAATATTCACTAATCAACAAAGTTGTTTAAATAAATAATAATGCAAATATAAAGAAATGCAACCCATTATTAATAATTTTTTATTCTTAGTTGCAATATATATATAAAGCTGAAATAAATAAAAAATTAAACAAGAATTAATATATTTATATATTTGCAATATTATTATTTCTTAGCTCAATTAAAAATTAAAAAAATTACAAATTAATATAATTTATATACATTATAATTATAAATAATAATATAATATTAATAATAGTAATAATATTATAATATCAAGTAATATCAAATATTAATCATATAATAAAATGTATTAAGAGCAATAATATTTATGATAAAACTATTAGATGCTTATCAATAAGATAAGCATATAAATATAATTATATAAAAAATATTAATAATTATAAAAAATATATATATAAAAAAAATATTTCTAAATGTTATTCTTTATGATTTTAATGATTTACATTAATTTCATAAGTTTATATTGTATAATTCATTGATGTAATGTATTATGTCATTCATAAATTATTAAATTAAATTAAGTTTATTCATCTACAAAAAAATCAAAATTACAAAGACTTTAATTTGTTTTCCTAATAACAATATATAATTAATTCAATTATGGATATATAATTGTAAAAAGAAGAAGACAAAGAAACTTTATAACAAAAAATTACAAGATCAGAAAGACATTTGAAGTGTCAAAATTCATGGTCACGAGGTTGACACAATTTTGACAAGTAATCTACAGCCGTATCTGTCCGCCATCGTTTTGTAAATACACTTTCCCCATCTTATGTGTTGAAAGCATATCAAAGATAAGACTTGTCAAAATAAAGTTAAATTAAAATTATGCAGATATTTGAAATAAGAATTATAATAAAGACATTACATCTATGTATTTCGAATACAATAACAAAATTTTTCATCATCTGTATTGTTTGTATTCTAATAAAGCCGATATATTTCTTTCATTTAACATTTAATGAATTATAAAAAGATCTTCTAATTTTAATTATATGAAATAGAAACATAAATATATTATTAAAATGATAGTAAAACAAAAAACTTTTTTATTTTTTTTTTTTTTTTTCCCC